TTTTTGGCTAGTGTGGACATTTTAGTGATGTTACTTCTCTCTCTCCATGAGCATGGTATATGCTTCCACTTATTTGTATCTTCTTCAATTTCTTTTTTTAGTGTCTTACAGTTTTCCAAGTATAGGTCTTTTAACTCTTTGGTTAGGTTAATTCCTGGGTATTTTATTTTATTTTTTTTATACAGTTGTAACTAGGATTGTTTTCTCAGTTTTTCTTTCTGATAATTCATTATTGTTGTATAAAAACGCAACAAATTTTTGAATATTTACTTTATATTCTCCTACTGTACTGAATTCATTTGTTAGTTTTAGTAGTTTTTTTTTTGGTGGTATCTTTAGGGTTCTCTGTATACAATATCATGTCATCTGCAAATAATGACAGCTTTATTTTTTTATTCCCAATTTGGATATATTTTAATTTTTCATCTAGTCAGATTTCTGTGGTTAGAATTTCCAGTACTGTGTTGAATAAATGTGCTGAAAGTGGACATTCCTCTCTTGTTCCTCATCTCAAGGGAAATGCTTTTGGTTTTCCCTATTGAGTATGACGTTAACTGTGGGTTTATCGTATAGGACATTTATTATTTTGAGGTATATTTCATCTACTCCTAATTTGCTGAGAATTTTTATCATAAATAGGTGCTGGATTTTGTGAAACACTTTTTCTATATCTACTGATGGGATCATATGATTATTATTCTTCATTTTGTTTATGTAGCATATTGTGTCAATTGATATGCTGATGTTGAACATCCTTGCATCTCAGGAATGAATCCCTCTTGATCAAGGTGTATGATCTTTTTAATGTATTGCTAAATTCAGTTTCCTCATATTTTGTTGCAGACTTTTGCATCAGTGTTTATCAGGGATATTAGCTTATCATTTTTTTATCTGGTTTTGGCATTAGGATAATGCTGACCTCATAAAAGGACCTTGGAATTCTTCCATCCTGTTGAATTTTATGCAATAGTTTGGGAAGGTTAGGTGTTAGTTCTTCCCTGAGTGTTTGGTAAAATTTACATGTGAAGCCATCTAGTGCAGGACTTGTTTCTTGGGAGATTTTTGATCACTGCTTCAATTTCTTTGGTTGTAATTGGTTTGTTCAGATTTTCCATTTCTTCTTGATTCATTGTATGTTGTATATTTCCAGAAATTTCATCTAGATTGTCCAACTTGTTAGCATACAGTTGTTCATAGTATTCCTTTGTGATCCTTTGTATTTCTCTGGTGCCAGCTGTTATGTCTCCTATTTCATTTTTGATTTTATTTATTTGTGTCCTCTTGTGGTTTTTTTAAATGAGTTTGGTTAAAGGTTTACTTTGTTTATCTTTTCAAAGAACAGCTCTTTGTTTCAATGATCTTTTGAATTTTTTAAACTGTTTTATTTCTGCTCTAATCTTTTTTTAATTTCCTTTCTTCTACTCACTTTGAACTTTATCTGTTTATTTCCTAGTTCCTTTAGATGTAAGGTTAGATTGTTTATTTGAGATTTTTCTTTCTTGACATAGGCCTGTATTCCTATGAATTTCCCTGTTACACTTTTGCGGTGTCCCATAGATTTTGTGTTGTATTTTCCTTTTCATTTTTCTCAAGGTATCCTTTGATTTCTTCCTTGATCTCATCATTACCTTATTAATTACATAAAGTTTATTTACCCTCCTTGTGTTTCTGTGCTTTTCATTTTTTTAAAGTATATTTTGTTGATTATGCTATTACAGTCATCCCATTCTCTTTTCTTCTCTTTATCCCCCTCTGTCTGGTAGCCACTTTCCCTCCAGCATCCCTCCCCACACTTAGTTCATTTCCATGGGACATACATATAAGTTCTTTGGCTTCTCCATTTCCTACACTATTTTTAACTTTCCCATCTATTATGTACTTACCATTTATGCTTCTTATTCCCTGTACCTTCCCCCCTTCTCCCCACCTTTACCCCTCTCCACTGATAACCCTCCATGTGATCTCCATTTCTGTAATTCTGTTCTTGTTCTAGTTGTTTGCATAGTTTTTTTTAGGTTTAGTCATTGATAGTTGGGAGTTTGTTGTCATTTTACTCTTCATAGTTTTGATCATCTTCTTTTTCTTAGATAAGTCCTTTAATATTTCATATAAGGGCTTGGTGATGATGAACTCTTTTAACTTGACCTTATCTGGGAAGCACTTTATCTGCCCTTCCATTCTGAATGATAGCTTTGCTGGCTAGAGTCATCTTGGATGCAGGTCCTTGCCTTTCATGACTTGGGGAATACTTCTTTCCAGCCCTTTCTTGCTTACAAGGTTTCTTTTGGGAAATCATCTGATAGCCTTATGGGAACTCCTTTATAGGTAACTGTCTCCTTTTCTCTTGCTGCTTTTGAGATTCTCTTACTCTTTAATCTTGGGTAATGTAATTATTATGTTCCTTGGTGTGTGCTTCCTTGGGTCCAGTTTGTTTGGGACTTTCTGAGCTTCCTAGAAGTCTATTTCCTTCACCAGACTGGGGAAATTTTCCTTCATTTTTTTGTTCAGATAAGTTTTCAATTTCTTGTTCTTCCTCTTTTCCTTCTGGCACCCCTATGATTCAGATGTTGGAATATTTAAAGTTGTCTGAACTACCGCCTTGCTGTGTGTTCTCTCCACTCTGGCTGCCCATCTCCACCACTTCTGTCAATCTGGATGAATGTTTCTTCTTTAACTGCTTGGTTGTCAGACTTCCATACAGTTTGATTTAATGGCAGTCCTGGTTGTTTTTTGTTTTTCAATTTGTTGTTTCCTTCTTTTGGTTATGTGGGGAGGCAGAGCTTATCTACCTATGCCTTCATTTTGGCCAGAACTTTTTTCAGTTCTTTTCTTTGTAATTAATTTTTCATTTTATAACATTGTAGTCAGAGAAGATACATGATATAATTTCAGTCTTTTTAAATTTGTTGTGTCTTGTTTTGTGGCCTCACATGTAGTCTATTCTAGAAAATATTCCATGTTCACTTGAAAATAGCATATATTCTGCTTTGGTGTGAAATGCTCTGAAAATATCAATTAAATCCTTCTGCTGGTTCCTTAATTTTCTGTCTGGAAGATCTATCCATTGATGTCTATGGGGTGTTAAAGTCTCCTACTCTCACTATTAACTGTTTATCTCTCTGTTATGTCCATCAAGATTTTGCTTTATCATATGTTGCTGTATGTATTGTGTACCCATATTTTTGGCTCAGACTTTCAGGAAAAAATTTTTAAAATTTTATTATTTATTCATTTATTTATTTATATTTAGAAACAAAACAGATGATCATATTCCATTTTGCATATGGATCTCATCATTTCTTTCTGGTGTTACATTTTTAGTGCATAAGCACAAATAAAAGAATTAAAACAGTTATATAGATATGGAATTAGTACTTCCCATATATATAATGCACCTCCTTATTTTTCCCTCAAAAATTTTGGGCAAAACATGCACATTATACGTGGCAAAATATTTCCTAAATATAATAAGAGTATGGTATAATAAATAATATGGTATTATATTTAGGCATCCCTGTGTTGGGTGCATAAATGTTTAGAAGGGTTATATCCTCTTGTTGGATTAATCCCTATATATAATGTCCTTCTTTTTCTCTTATTATAGCCTTTATTTTAAAGTCTATTTTATCTGATATAAGTATTGATATGAGCTGGGAAGTTTTGAATTTATGCAGGATTCCTCTAAAATACTTGCTGTTGTGTCCTACTGCCTCATGAAATACAGAACCTGTTCTCACTATGCTTATAGTAAGTACCAGACCAACAACTATCTAAGCAATTAAAATAGTGTGGTTGTATCTGCCACAGAGGAAAGTACAGGAAGCTATAGCAACACATAGATGGGTCTAGTTCTTGTGGAGCCTATGGGTGGGGTTGAGGGCATTTTAAAAACACTGCAAATGTTTCAAACATTTAATCTGAAGTACTAACATTGAATATTGTAAAAGTATATAGGAGGGGCATCATTTTTACAAAATATCAGCATTTCTTAAGCTCTTCTAATGGAATGACAGAGAAGCATAATTAAAAGAGACCTTTGCAGTTTAAAGCAGAAAACCTGAATTTGGTTGTATATCAAAACCAAACATACTTTAGAATTACAGTATATGCACACATTATACTCCATTTGATTTGATCATAAAGGCAGAACACCCTATCTCAAAACCTGCCTAATATAATAGCGAATGCTTAATTACAGAAACAAAGGAATCTTTTCTATAAGAGTTTTTACATCTCACAAGATCTGCCTGGGCATTAATCACACTGCTGGTGTCACATCAACCTTAGTGGCTTCAGCCTTGAATGGCAGGACACACCGGTGCAGGCCCTCAAGTTGTGAGGATATGAACCCTACACCCAGTGTGGGAGTTACACACTGCTCTCCAGTTCAGTTCACGTGGATTTCTTCTAGTAACTACTGTTTAAGGCGGTTGGGGCTCACACCGGTGAAATTGTGTCTTCTTTCCTCCACATTGTCAAATGAGAGACCTCCCACACCTTCCCCCTCTCATAGCTTAGAACAGAAGGCCTGAAGAGTTAACCAGAAGCTGGGAAAGAAAAGGCATCATCACCAGCCGTTCCCATGGTGAACTCTTAGTGCCTGTTTTTGTTTGTTTTTAGTGTGCTCACATTGAGTGCTAGTAGGTAAATATGACCATGCTTGTTCTGGGAAAAGGTACGATAGCAGTTTTTGGTGCATTAGGTCACCCTGTGCCCCCCTCTGCCATCCTACCTAGTCTTTGTGGCTTATTAAAGTACTTCCCTAGTACCACTTAGGCAACTCTAATAACATGTAAGACTGGTCAAATAACTCTGGACCTCAGAAGTCTTAGCTCCCTCTGGCTTCCTCAGGGTTTGAACATACTAACGTTGCCTGTAAGAACCAGCCCATTGCTCAGATCAGTGTTGTGGGAAAGCATTCGGGGCTGTTACTGAGATGTGCTGTGACCTCTTCCTTGTTAGCTGCATGATGAAAAATTATATATTATTTTATGCCACAGGGACTGTTATTCGGCGACATCGGATTCCTCTGCCACCTCCTGATGATGATCAGTTTTATACTGTGTATTCTTTCAATATCAGCATAGACATTGTCTTTTATGGCCGGACATTCAAGATTTATGACTGTGATGCATTCACAAAAAACTTTTTGAAGAACATAGGCGTCAAATTAAACCCCCCAAGCCAGTGTCCAGAAGATCCTTATATGAACACTCGGAGAGAGGTAAGAAGTTGATATGTCTATGAGTTCTTGTCTTGAGAATCAAATCTCTTCAGAGTTAGTAGAGGGTATTGGTACATCTGATATGAAAGAACTTTCGGGGCTATAGTTGCTAGGATTATCTTCTTCTATAGGATGGAAGGAAGGCTGGGTGTTGGCCTCAGTGCAAGAAAGTCTTACTGTCTCTGCCCACACTTCTTTCCATGGAGAGACTCCCTTCCAGGTAATAGGAGTCTTTAGTGAGCCACATACATGGGACAATTTCTAAGAGCCCACAATTGGCTTTGTGGTCACTGACAGTGTTTCTGCCCACATTTACCTAGCTTATCTTTTCCCATTTTAGTTGCGTAACTCTGGGAAAATGTTTGCTTCTGTACTTCTGATTTACTGAACCAAGTCTTGGGTATACCTTTTACCTTTTTCCTTCTTCCTTGGGACTCCCCGACTCCCCTTATAGTGGCATCAGGTACAGAGATGTTATGGAGGAGCAAGGAGGGCCATGATTCCTATGTTCCCCCATTATAAAAGGGAATTCTGACCCCAATTAGTATGGGGAGGAAATAATAAGTGTTAGTTATATCATTGTTTTATTTCTAAAGTTTCTTTATAGTAATCCCATAGCCCAAATTTTATGTTTTATAAAAGAATCTGAACACCTAAAAGGGCAAGTGTCATGTGGAGAGTCACATACCTAGATAGTTTCCTTGCTGGGACTTGAACTCAGATTTCTTGCTTCTTATCCTAATTTTCATTATTGTCGTTTGTTTTCCTTTTTTCTTTTTATTGAAGTGTAGTCATACACAGTAAAATTCCCAGAAATTAAGTATACATTCAGACGAGTCTTAACAAATACATACACCCATGTAGTCCATATCCAAGTCAAGGTATAGAACATTTCTATCTTCCCAGGAAGTTGCCTCATGCCTTTTTCAATCAGTCCCTCTCCCCACTCAGGATTAAGCACTGTTCTCATTTCTATCCTTATAGATTAGTTTAATCTCATTTTTATTATTTCTAAAATTTGTAATTAATTCACTTCCTTGCAGAAAGAGAATATAAAATTTAGAATGAAATTCTCTTTTGATTCTGCTTTGATCTCTTGTTAAAAGCTACATGAAGGATGCTTCATCTGTTCCTGCCTTCTAACCCCTGTGGAATTATCCTTTGATGTTACAAGCATATAATCCTCCTGAGAAATATATATTGTTGATCCTGGAGTATCTCAGGTGAAATCCTTGTGCCATTATGCCTATGTGTATTGGTGCACAAGGAGATTTCTAGTTTGGGTTTGTTTTTATTTTTTCTAAATGCTCTAGATGAAAGAGTCTAGATAAATACAAAGTCTTTAGAACCAGTGAAAAGAACTTAAAAGAAATGGATCCATATAATTAACACCCTTTGCATATGACCGCATTCATTCACTAGCAGTTGTTATTATATGATAGTGATTGTGAATGATGATGCATTATATGAAATGCATAGAGTACTGTGCAATTTCCTAGGTTTATAAAGAAAAAATATTTTGTGTCATGAATTGAGAATAAATACCAAGAACATCTAAGAAATATTTTAAGTAGTTTTCTTTCAGATTGGGAGAATAATTTTAGCATTTATTCCCTCAGGGAGAACTCTTCAATAAATATAGAAATCTGTAGAAAATTAAGAGTTTAATAACAGGCTTTTGTGTTGACTTTAGTGGTTTTACTTCTCCAGTGTTTGCTGCATTGAAATGTAAGGTTAAAATTAAATAATTTAACTTAAACTGAAAAGAGCCCTAATGGAGTGTAATCAATAGTACATTTAAAAAATTTTTTTATTTAATTATTGTTCAAGCACAGTTTTCTGTCTTTTTCTCCCATCCCAGCCCACCCCCCCAGTGCTCCTCACCTCCCTCCCATTTTCACCTCCCTTAGTTGTTGTCCATGTGTCCTTTATACTTGTTCCTATAAACCCTTCCCCTTTTCCCCTGAAATTCCCTCCCCTCTCCCCTCTAGTTCCTGTTAACCTGTTCTCTATTTCAGTGTCTTTGGTTATATTCTGCTTGCTTGTTTGTTTTGTGGTTTAGGTTCCTGTTAAAGGTAAGATCATATGGTATTTGTCTTTCACCACCTGGCTTATTTCACTCAGCATAATGCTTTCTAGTTCCATCCATGCTGTTGCAAAGGGAGGAGCTCCTTCTTTCTTTCTGCTGCATAGAATTCCATTGTGTAAATGTACCATACTTTTTGGATCCATTCATTTACTAATGGGAACCTAGGTTGCTTCCAACTCTGGCTATTGTAAATTGTGCTGCCATGAACATTGGGGTGCGTAGGTTCTTTTGGATTGGTGTTTCAGGGTTCTTAGGATATGCTCCTAGCAGTGGAATTGCTGGGTCAAAAGGCATATTCATCTTTAGTTTTCTTAGAAAATTCTATACTGCTTTCCATAATGGTTGTACCAGTCTGCAATCCCACCAACAGTGAACTAGGGTCCCCTTTTCCCCACAACCTCTCCAACATTTGTTGTTTGTTGCTTTGTCAATAATACATTTCTTAGAGGCCTTATAGTGCTTGAAGAAACATTTTTCAATCAATGAAAATAGAGGTACCATAATTTCATTTAAATATCACGGATAAGACTGAAGAACCTGTGAAAGGCCATCATGTCTCTCTCCTTTCTTGGGGTAAGTCTGCTCCTAGACTGCCCTAGATAGGTACAAAATTTTGAGAATTTGCACACCAGATACATAAGCCAATGTAGGACTGTATCTTCCTTGCCAGTGAGCACTTTCTTATATAACAATCCTATTTAGATACATCAGATAAAATGGGGAACTTTTGTTCCAAGACAGGGCTGCAGACATGCAAATAAAGAATAGTTGCACCAAGAAGACTGCAGTGCTAGTGGTTTCTCAGTTGGACAGAACCCAGGCAGTAGTTTTATGCCATTTGGGAAGTTCTCCATTTTCTCTGCTTCTGTTTCCATGGTTTTTCAGATCCTTAATATATATAGCTTATTTTAAAAAATACTTTATTTATTTATACTTAGAGGGGAACATAAGGAGAAAGAGAGGGAGAGGAACATCAACGTGTAGTTGCCTTTCACATGCCACCTAGTGGGGACCTGGCCTGCAACCCAGGCATGTGCCCTGACTGGGAATTGAACCAGCAACCCTTTGGTTTGCAGGTGAGCACTGAATCCACTGAGACACACCAGCTGAGACTAATATCTAAAGCTTTTGAGCAAAATAAAGCCATGAATATATTTCTTCCCTTTTACCTTCACAAAAATCTTTGGATGAGTAAGAAGTATGTACAAATATGACTTTTCATTGAAAAAACAATTTTTTGTTGAGATATAATTAACATTGATGTGCAGATCTTTAAGCATGAAGATCAACAAGTTTTGGCAAATGTATACAATTCAGTAACTAACATGAAAATCAGGAAAGAATATTTCCATCACTCTAGAAAATTCTCGTTCCCTTTGCAGTCAGTCATCTACCAAAGGGCAATTGCTGTTCTAATTTTTCTCACTATACAGTAGTTTTGAGTTTTGTCTTTTCTTAAACAAGAAATTTAAGTCTTTGAGAAAAATCAGTTTTAAAGACATTACAGAAATATATTTTAGAGCATTAAAATGTTTAATATGAAAGCTTCCTAATACTTGATTCTATTTTTAAGGTTAAAACTGGTTACACGTACTGTTTTATATATATACATACACACACATGTAGATGTATATACACACATGATGTACAGGATATATCATGTACATAATATATATGATATATGTACATGATGTATATCACATATATAATATCATATAAATGATAAAACTGGTTATATATTGATATTGTTAGTTGAAATTTAAAAAATATATATCACAGAATAGTCTGTGGAAGGCATATATTTATGTTCTTTGATTGCTTACAGCCCAGAAGTGCTTATACCCAAACTGCAACTATTATGAACCTTTTATTCATTCTCAGGTACTAGAACGCATGCAGCCCTTACGGCCCTATGAATCCTTTGACACCCTGAAACAGTTCCTCGAGTATGATAGGAAGGTTTTGCGTTTCTTCTGCCTGTGGGATGACTCGTCATTGTTTGGGGACTGCAGAGAACTCATCTTGAACTACTTTCTGAGTGATGATACCATCGAAATCAAAGAATTGCTGCCACGCAACTCAGGTCGGACTTCTGTGTCATGGTTCCTCCGGAGGGGAAAGGTGCCCAAGGTAAGCAAGCAGTGGACATAGAACCACTTTTTAAGTTTGCTTGTTGGCTTAAAGACTGTAGTCACTCACTGGAATGCCATATGTTATGACTATGTGATGACAGTTGTCATATATTAGTGCAAGTGTTTAGAAAGCTTCTATTTTGTGCCCTCTATTAATATGAATTTTGGAAAGTAATACAGAGGATATAACAAATTGGAGTTGGGATATTTTGGGCTTAAGGCAAGTAAAGGGAAAAAGTCAAATGCAAAAGAAATTACCTATTCAATATTAAGTTCACAATCAGTCTTAAGAAGGTAAATGACTCTTTAGTAAAAGAATTGCATATGGTCTTGGATGGGACACTGGGTCTCTTGCCTTTGTAGCCTACTGATGAGATCCCATGCTGTTTCTCTGGGTTGTGAATATACACACAAGTAATTCTTCTGAAAGTAGCTACCTGTCACCAAATAGCCACTGGCTAACAACAGTGACAGCTTTTGCATTTTTGTTTGCTATTAAAAGAGTTTTCAGACTTATTTTATACATATTTATGGCTATTTGACAGCTAACATAACTTGAGTATAGACAAAAGACCTGGGTTAGAATTGTGGTTCTGCACATAATGTCTGTGTGACCTTGAGCAAGTCACTTAACCTTTCTGATTGTATTTCCTTATCTTTAAAATGCATTAACAAGGCTTCTATCCTGAGGTAACTGTACAGATAAATTGAGATAACATAGTAAAAAACACTGTCTAAGGACCTGCAAACACGTACACAGATGTGAAAACATAAAGGCTTTTTCACAGCTCTATCTTATGCTTTATTTCTTATTTGGATAAAGTATTTTTCAACTTAACTCTTAATGCCACTAAGGAGGTTGCTGTACCACTAATTTCTGATACAAACAACCACTGGTTATGTGGTCCACATAGGAGGCTCTCCCAGATTCTCTGAGCCCACAGCCAGCAGTGTTGCTGGGAGGGTTAGTGGTGGTGGTGGTGGTGGTGGTAGTAAAGGTAGTCAGGGCTTGTCTCAGAAGAACCTCTGGAGTATGCACAGTAGGTAGTCAGGAGGTACCTAGGAAGCCTGTTTTTAGAATGGTTTTGAAAAATAGAATGAATATAAAATAATAATGACAGATGTGACATTTGCAGTGTGCTTTGACATCAGCTGCTTCATCTATTCATTTATTTAACACATATTTATTGTCAACTGTGTGTCAGCTCTGGGGTTACAGTGAGAAAGGAAGGGGATTAAGTCTTACTTCATGGAACTTACATTCTCATTGGGGAGAGATACAGTAGTAGTAGGTGTTCCCCTGGCAATCTCAACATCTTTTGAGAGAGCAAAGAATAAGCACTATTGTTGTAGTCAGATGAAACTGAAGCTACGTGGAACTGAAGATAAATACATAGCCCCAAGTCCTACAGCTAGTAAGTGGTGAACAGAAAGTTTGTGTCCAAATGTACTGTTTTCCTATGTTACATGGCTTACTTATACCCACACATCTTAAATTTACACATTTGAGCTTATATTTTGTGTCACATGTATCAAAGATGATTCTGATTTCTCATCTGTATGTGATAAACTGATCACTGTCTATTGGTAAGTTGGTTAAGGTATTTCCTGCAGCTCACACAACTGCTTAGACCACCTCTAGTGCATGTAGAACTGAGGAGTGTCCTAGCTCACCCCAGGCCACAGTTTCTGTTAGAGGCTGACCACTCTCTATTATTCTTGCCACCTCATCACACTGCCTCTCAGTCAACAAAGGCCTCCTGAGTTCAGGATCAGGCAGGGTGCTAAGCAGAGTAAAGAAAAGAAGGCAAGACATAGTTTGTAGTTGAGTGAAAAGAAAAGCTGACTATTGATAAAGGAATTAGAGAACCATAAGAAGTAGTTGAATCCTACAGTAGGAGCTATGGAGCTTTGGATTTGGAACAGCCTCATAGGATGGGCGAGTTCATGGGAAAAGATGGGGCTTTAAGAGGGCCTTGATGGATGGGTGGAATATAGACCAGCTACAGGGGATGAGGAAGCACAGGAAGAGGTGGATAAAGTAAGTGTCTTGTTTTCCTGTGGATGGCAGAGAAGAATCATACAATGCATATTCCCCACTTGAGCCCCTCAGCAGGACCATTTTTGAGTTCAGAGGCCATCTACCATATCTTGCTTTGGTTTTATCTTCCAGTATGGCCCACCTGGAATCTATCAACCAGGCGAGGTAACAGATCGAATAGTTCTCAATGTGTATACTGGGTTTACACTGAGCCCAGTATGTGGCTACCTGTTGGATAAATACAAGGTGAGGAACCTTACATTTTATTATTGTTTTCAGTATGCATGACATCCCTGGAACTTGAAATGTGGAATGAGTTACATATTCTCTTGTGAGACTGACAATGAGTGAAATGAACAAATGGGTAAATGTATGCATTGCACTGCTGTTTCTTTTTTTCTTTTTTTAATATATATATTTTTATTTTGATTATGCCATTACATTTGTTCTATTCCCCCCCTCCATCCCCCTCCACCCTGCACACCCCTCCCCCACCATTCCCCTCCTTTAGTTCATGAACACGTGTCTCAAGTTCTTTAGATTCTATATTTCCCCTACTATTCTTACCCTCCCCCCATCTATTTTCTAACTACTGTCTATGCTACTTATTTTCTGTACCTTTTCCCCCCTTCTTTTTCTCCCACTCCCCTGTTGCTAACCCTTCATGTGATCTCCATTTCTATGGTTCACTCCTGATCTAGCTGTCTTCTTAATTTCCTTTTGTTGTAGGTGTGGTTGTTAATAACTGTGAGTTTGCTGTCCTTTGACTGTTCATCTTTTTCATCTTCTTTTTCTTAGGTAAGTCCCTTTAACATTTCATATAATAAGGGCTTGGTGATGATGAACTCCTTGAAATTGATCTTATCTGAAAAGCACTTTATCTGTCCTTCCATTCTAAATGAAAGCTTTGCTGGATAGAGCAATCTTGGATGTAGGTCCTTGCATTTTATGACCTGGAATACTTCTTTCCAGCCCCTTCTTGCCTGTAAGGTCTCTTTTGAGAAATCCGCTGACAGTCTGATGGGAACTCCTTTGTAGGTGACTGTCCCCTTCTCTCTTGCTGCTTGTAGGATTCTCTCCTTCATTTTAATCTTGGCTAATGTAATGATGATGTGCCTTGGTATGTTCCTTCTTGGGTCCAATTTCCTTGGTACTCTCTGAGCTTCCTGGATTTCCTGGAAGTCTATTTCCTTTGCCAGATTGGGGAAGTTCTCCTTTATTATTTGTTCAAATAAGTGTTCCACTCGTGGCTTTTCCTCTTCCCCTTCTGGTACCCCTATAATTCGAATGTTGGATCGTTTAAAGATGTCCTGAAGGTTCCTAAGCCTCTTCTCCTTTTTTTGAATTCTTGTTTCTTCATCCTTTTCTGTTTGGTTGTTTTTTTCCTCCTTTTGGTCCACTCCTTTGATTTGAGTCCCAGTTTCCTTTCCATTACTATTGGTTCCCCGTGTATTTTCCTTCATTTCACTTAATGTAGCCTTCATTTTTTCATCTAATTTGCGACTAAAATCAGCCAATTCTGTGAGCATCCTGATCACCAGTGTTTTGAACTGTGCATCTGAAAGTTTGGCTGTTTCTTCATCACTTAGATTTATTGGCTCTGGGGCTCTGAGTTGTTCTTGAGCCATGTTTTGATCTGTTTGTGCCTGTTATGTATGAGGAGAGGTGCCTTAGGTGTTCACCAGGGTGGGGCCACCCAGGTCACTGGTTTGTGATGCCGTATGTGGAGGCGGAGTCAGAGAGGGAGCAATGGTGGTCCTTTCTGTTCACTCCCTCCTTTTTATCTGAGGGCAAATGTGTGAGCCCACAGCCCTGCACTGCCAGGGCCTGTGCAGTCTGTCTCAATGCTCACCTCTTCACTGGTTTATCTGCACGCAAATGCGCGACCGACTGCAGACAGCCAGCTGCACCTCTTCCCTGTGTCCACCAGTAGCTAGCCTGCACCTGGGATCCACGCCCTCAGCTGCCTGTGTACTGGCCGGGTCGGGGTATCTTCCCTGCCTGACCCGCTCCGCTGCTGGCTTTGCCCCTCTCACTGGTTTGGTTTAGCTGAGTGGTTCATTGTTTTCAGACTACGTATTGTTAGATTTTCTGTGTGGTTTGGTTGCGTTTATTGTTGTTAAAACTTTGTTGTTTTTAGATTTGGTTGTGTGAGGAAGCAAAGTGTTTCCACCTATGCCTCCATCTTGGCGGAAGTCCCTGTACTGCTATTTCTAAATGAATATTTTGTGAAAGAACAGCAAACTCATAGTTATTAACAACCATACCTAAAACAAAAGCAATCTAAGAGGACAGCAAGATCAGGAGTGGAGCCACAGAAATGGAGATCACATGGAGGGTTAGCAACAGGGGAGTGGGAGGAGAAGAAGGGGGGAGAAGGTACAGAGAATAAGTATCGTAGATGGTAGGTATATAAAATAGACAGGGGGAGGGCAAGAGTAGTATGGGAAATATAGAATCTAAGGAACTTGTGACATGTGGACATAAACTAAAAGGGGGGAATGGTGGGGGTGGGGGTGCAGGGTGGAGGGGAATGAAGGGGGGAAATGGGACAACTGTAATGGCATAATCAATAAAATATATTAAAAATAATGAACATTTTAACTGTATATGCAAACATATGCCTTGCATTGCTCTTGGGTAGCACTGCCTTGCTAAAAGAATGTTTTTAAAGTGTTAATATCGATTAGTTGTCTTTTGGATTGATTTTCAAAATTTGGTATAAATGATATAATTGGGGTGTTTTTTTAATTTCTTTTTTTCTTTGAGGAGGGTTATGTCTTTGCAGGGTCTGTGGTGCCAACGTTGTATTCCTTTGTTTTTCTTAGCTAGGAAAATTAGAACAAGAGTTTTACAAGGATAGTGACCTGTCTGTGGGAACCACCATCAATGTGTGGGGAAGGAAAGTGCTCCTTTGTGACTGTGATGAATTTACAAAGACTTATTATAAGACTAAATATGGAATTGGTAAGTTATACATTTGTCAATTAGAAACTAATACTGAAAACTTAGAATCTTTTGTTCGTTGGTTAAGATTTTACTTTCAAGTTTCAATTGTTAAGCTCATAACAGCTATCATTTATTGAGCATTTGCTATCTGCCAGGCATTTATCATCTTATTTCTTCCTATTCTAGAAGGGTAAGTTCATTATCTCCCGTTTAGAGGTAAAAAAAAAAAAAAACCCTGAGGCTTAAGAGAGGCTAACTTGTCAAAGGCAAGTAAAGGGTGAGCCAAGATTTGAACTTTTCTGCCTGATGCCAGAGGCTTCTGTTTTTCCCTTATCGCACTCTACCTTACTACAATATGTGTAAGTGTTTTGGTCAAACAATCTAAACGGAAATCTAAATGCTTTTGTTTTCACTAAATTCTTGCTTATCACAATGGATGTAATTATTCAAGTTCTCTGGGGAATTCCCTTGTGCCAATTTGTTCTGCCTTTTTAGGGAAGGCTCAACCAGTTTTCTGGTTTCTTCCTAAATTTCGAATTCATTCAGGTTAGTTAAGCTCAAAATGAAAACCAGTGATTTATTAAACACCTATGAGGTTTACATCATTTTAGTAGATGCTGCAGCTACAGAGTTGAGTAAGGAGTTTCTAGGTTGGAAGGGGAGCAGAGACTTACAGCATGTTACCGTGTTGTGAGAGTCATCAAAACAGGTGGAGGATCTGATTTGGAGCCAGAAAAACAAATCCTTCATTCGTTAAAACTGTCAGCTAGCTCTGTACCCTTCCTGGGCCCTCTACCTAGGTTCCAGGTACCCTCCTGGAGGTGGCGAGAATTGTGAACGTCTTATATTGAGGTTCGGAGCTGGGATGGGGATGCTTATTCCTGTACTCCTTGAATCAGGGAGTAGTTTTATGAACACACTTCCCCAAGGGATGAGGTGGAAGCCACAAGCAACCATAACTTTCTAAAAGACAAGGTACTTCATCTCTAGAATAAGGCAAGGCCTTCCTATGTGTCTTGATGTTTCTATTGTGTAGTATCTCTGGCCTCCTGGGAATCTTTACACTGTGAGAGGAGGCACACCAAGTGCACCAAGGGGTTGGAATAAACAATTTCTCAATTTCACTCTTCAGTTCATTAAGGGGATTTGTTCCACTGCATCACCCAGATTAGTCAAAATGTTTGAGCTTTATAGGGTCATATTGGTGGCCTTTTCTTATGTTATTCTCTAAAATTGATCCTCTTTGGTGGACACAGTTGGGTGTATTTGTTTTGGGAACTATGGGCAAGAGGCAGCCAGGAATGTGCAGGTGGTGGCTGTTGTTGAGAAGCTGCCAGTAACCTTTAGATCACTGGGAGGAGAACTTGGTCTTTACTAAATGTACAGGCCTGTTTAGAATCAACAGGTCTTCAGTGTACACTTGAAACTTTGAAGAAAATATTAAAAATGATCCTCTAAAAACATTTTCTTGTGTTGTATTGACTGATTACCTTAATATAAAGGATGTGGTGAGGGTTCCAAAACATATGATCCCTTAAACATAAAGTCCAACATTTGGTTGATGTTTGTCTGTCAGCTTCATTTTGAAACTATAAAGATTGCATTTTGAAAAATAAATGTAGTGCTGGAGAGACATGGTTCATTGTCTCTTAGCAAGTTTGCAGGGATCTTTGAGAGGCAGAGTCAGTTCACTTGTGCACTCCAAATCAAGCTGTCCTCAGTTTCAAATGCCCTATGGTTCATTTCAGTTGAACCCTAGTGCTAATTTATTTATTCACTCTATGGACTTACTGTATTATGTAAAAAACTAGTTTGTGCCTTTAAAATTAATATAACATGAGCAATATACATTTAAACAAAATTATGATGCATTTTATAATCATGCTGACTTTTTATCTTTCATAACATATGTTAAAATATCTCCTTTAGTAGACACTATTGTTACACAACATTTCTTGAGTAACAACAGTGTACTTAATGTAAATAATGACTCGAAATTATATCCATAATGCAGGGTACGTAGAGGATGAATAAATACTCTTATAGTATTTACATTTTCGTTTCCTGTCTTTTTGGCAAAGTTAAATTAATATACTTAATGTTACTTAGATGGTTACTTTTGACATTTTAGTCTTTTTATATTCATCTGGTTCTAAAATTCATAGACTGACCCAATTTTATACATTATATTTTGATATCCTTGATGCCCAAACCAGGACAAAGTCCCATCAATAATTATAGTCATATTTCCTCCATTGTCAGTAATTTTGGTCAGTAGAATACCTGGTATCTCCACTCTGTAGTGCCACAGGAACTAGCTGACAATTGCTAATAGCACAGCTAGGGACCTCCCTAAGAAGAAGCCAAGGAGAGATTTGTAATGCAGTATACAATCTTTGTGCTTTAGTACCCTTTCTTAACTAATGATACCACAACATATCTGGCAGGAAAAAAATGGCAGACAAACTAAGAGAAGGAGTTGGCCACAGTCCCAAGAAAGGTGCTTGAGTAAGCTTTCTATTTATGTACAATAGAAGCAAAAGATGTGATAGAAATCCAAGAGATATCTTTACTCCTGTGTAAAACCCAATCTGATTCCTAAAAAGATGAGATATTTTTGTGCATTTAAGGGTTCAAAGGAGAAGGTGATTCCATAAAATTCTCCCACAAAACAGTCTAGTGTGACACCCCCCGCCCCAACACACACACGCTAGGCAGCTCGGCCATCCTGCTGGCCAAGGCTTGCCTGCCAGGCTGTAACACGTCACTCCTTCATTATTTAATATGGATGAACATGGACTGGCAGATGGAGACCTGTCAGACTTTCCTGTAGCATGAAGGTTGGAAAAGGCTTCAGGTCTCCAGCAGGTGTTTCTCTCACTGAAGGGACAGGAAATTGAATGTAAACTGTTTGTATTTAGAATTCTTTCCTTTGGTTATCTTTTCTTTGTCTATAATATGACTTTTTATGATCAATTCTTAGTGGCTGGGGCAACCAAACTAGTAAAAGACCATTCATTCCCATAGCCCTTCAACACTTAATAGACTGTACTGAAATTAAGGATAAGCAAAAACTCAAAGCCTCTTTGATTTTGTGGAGTCATTTCTAGCCATCTCTGAACTTCTGGTGCTAGAAGCAGCAGGGTATCCAAGATGAGAGTTTAATCTCAGGGGGGGAATTCTAGTCTCACCACACGGCCTCAATAGCTTGAACAATTTGCCTCTTTTTCCTCCCCATTGAAGTGAAGGGGATTGAGGATTAGATGATTCCTAAGTATTTTCTAGCCAGAGTTAGATAATTATGTGATTCACTAATCATTTGACTCCAAAGTGAATGTCCCATAAAAGATCATTTGATCTGGGTATTGGGTACAAGAGGCAAGTTACCTTGAAATTAATAAAGTTAATAAAGATGAAGCTTTAGGCTTCTCTCTTTGCAGGGACCCCAGTACAAAGCCCTGGGCCTAATTTTGTCTTAATAATTGCTTTGTCTTAATAATTAGGTATTCTTCTTCAAATTATATAAGCTTCAGGCCTCCCTAAACCTAGGTCCATATCTGGGTTACTAGAACATACAAAATAAACTTTGATGTAATGGATGGGTTTGCCCATCATTGTTTCCAACTTAGATGGCAAATGGTAAATCACTGTGAATGAACATTAACACTTCTTTGAAAAATATATCACGTTTGTAAATTTAATGGAATCTAGTTAATTGTAGATAGACATTCAACATATATTTTACAAGTTGCTTGGAATTGAAGGAATCAGATTGTTTGAAAGAGGTATTTCCCAAGATCCAACAGAGTGTCAGTTAAGAAGATATTTGAGAAGATGCTTTGCATAAAAATATTTTTTTCATCTATTCACCAAATATTATTTAACACCTGAAAAATGCATGATGCTGGGTTTATAGAAAACCAAAGACAGGAAACTTATTCAAGGGCAGGTACAAAATATCAGGAAATAAGCAATTACCCAGAGAAATGATATCTTAAGTCAGAGTATCAAAAAGACATATGTGGTATTAGAACAGTCACATGTGATGGAGTGCAACCGTTCTAAACTTTTATACACTAGATGGCACTGTGGGTGCAGAGGAACACTAAATTGGTTCTTAAGTTAAATCTGTTGCAAAAATTATGAAGTTGAGAAAATAACACTGTGTTATGAAATCTGTAATTTTAGGAGAAAGTATTGAATGCATTCTTAACTACTTTGCAATTCAATTTATGTCCTCTTTTGGTTAAACTGCTCAGATTAATATGTGAAGTTGTATGTATATGTCCCCTGTTAGAAGAAACTGATCATGCTCCAATTTTCTAATAATCACATAGAGCGCTCCCTGCCATTTATTTCTATGGTCCTTTCCTTTAAATGAAGGTACTAGTCGGTGGTGTGTTTCATGTAACAGTTAGTAATGATAGGGTCTACTGTAATTCTGCCTGATTCCAAGATCTGAACTTTCTTCATTACCAAAGCCTCACTTTGCAGCAAAGATAGCAATAAGAGAGGCTCATGAGTCACTTTTGTGGGGGCAGTCTGGCCGCCCCCATTCACTGAGTCAGTGAGAAATATTTGATATTGTATTCTGTGAGCAGTTTGTGCTAGGATGGAACAGTAACTCTTTTGGGGATTATGCTTGAGGGACATCCATACACAGTCTGTTAGGAAGTCTAAGGAAATGTGAAATTTGAAAACATTTTCAAATTAGAGTTAGAAATAGCCTCAAACCCTTAACCTTTTAATCAGTCTTTAAAAAAATCCTTCAATTTTTAAGAATTAGGTTGCCCTGGAAGACAAATTGATGCACATTTTCTATTACAGAGGTATGTGCTAAACTTATACTCTTCCATCTATTAGAACTTTGACATTGGAAAAGGAAATCATTCCTTATGTGAATTTTTTCAGTCACAAATGTCAATACATATGGATACTCAAGCTTGAGGAAGAAGAAATTAAACTCCGTGGGTGGTTGTATTGTTTTGTTGCTTTGTTTTGTTTTAGGAAATATCATGGCATCTTCTTTGCCATTTTTGGTGGGACAAATACAAGTGATTTAGATCTATCACATCAGTGTGTCATTTGCTGTGGAGAATACACTTCTCAGAATTTGTGCAACCTCACAAATGAGTACCTTAAAGCTCCTAGGCTGTTATAGATTTGTGCCCAGCTCTCTTTACATCTCCCTTTCTTCACAGATGATAAGTAAATAAAGAAAATCAACATTATTTATTACTTAACACTCCTCTTGTGAGAGTAGGCACTGGCTATTTTTAAAGGTTTTGTTTGTTTGTTTGGTTTTATTTATTTATTTATTTGCTTCATTCCTCTTTAGTACAGTTACAGTCTTTTCATGGGCAGTAACAAGAGCTACCTGGAGCAGTAGTTGGTGACAAAAAGTTTTGTGTTTGTTTTTTAACTAGATGGTGAAGGGCCATAGCCTGGAGTTGAGTTGGGGAAATGGGAGAGGTCTTAAAAAGTGGGCACAGGAGGAGGGAACAGTAAATGGAAAAGGTAAAGGCAAAATAGTCAGGAATCTGTCCTGTTTGAAAAAATATTTGATTAGTGAGTGTTGACTAAAGATGGGAGAGAGCTAAATTACAGCTTAAAATATGGAATGGGTCATATAAAGTTCTAAGTTTGAATTTTCATATCATTGGAAAAAGCAGGATGAACAAAAATATTCCAAAATGGGATGTGATGACAAAAGATAAATGTTTACTTATTTGACATAAACAGTTTTTTTCTTTCTTTTGAACTAATGATGACTATTGAGTGAGTTCTGTGGTTTTTGTAAACATGATTGAAGCCTACCCTCACAGGATTTTGCTGTGTTTTGTTTGAAAGAGTTTAAAATAGTCTACAAAGTTCTTCATGTTCATCTTAAAACATAACAAATCTTTCCAAACAGACATAATCAGGGCAAAAAAATATTGATGTTTCATTTGCCTTTGTTTTGTTCTAGACAACTTTACCTCAGTTCCATGCAAGGCTCCATCTCCTCCAAAAATAGAAGGGAATTTTCCACGTTACACTGGCTTTACTTCTGAAGTGGAATCTGTTCGCCCTTCCCTAGGCGTTGTGCCCATACCTCGTCCTAATGTGGAAGAATTCTGGAAGTTAATGGAAAACGACAGGTGCTTGAGGGAACCATGATTTTGGTCTGATCTTTCCCAAATGTGTTCAAGATTTATATTATAGTCCCTGTGATGACACAGATGACACTCAGCTCATCTAATTTCAAGTCTAGGGACACATTATTATAGCTTTTTAATGAAGTCAGTTAATACGCAAGTATTTACAGGTTTTTACTTGAGTAGTTATTATATTTTCCCAGTTTTAACTGAGATATAATTCACATATAACAGTATGTAACATAACTTTTTATATGTATATGCTGAAAAATGATTACCACAATAAAATTAGTTAATATTCAACATTTCACAGTTATATTTTTCCTTGTGATAAAAACCTGTAAGATTTACTCTCACTTTTAAATGTACAATATAGTATTGTTAACTGTATTTTCATGTTATATATTAATTGCATCCCCATGACTTATTTACCTTATAACTGGAAATTTTGGTCACCTTCATTTAATTCCTTCATCCCCCATTCTCTGCCTCTGGCAGCCACCAATCTGATATCTATTTCTATAAGTTTTTTTTAGATTACACACATATAAGTGAGGTCATGAAGCATTTGCTTTTCTGACATATTCTACTTAACATAATGCACTCAAGTTTCATCCTTTAAAAACATTTCGTGTTGTATTTTTTCTATTACCATTTATCTCCCTGAGTTTCATCCTTGTTATAGCAAATGGCAGGATTTTCTTCTTTTTTTATGGCTGAATAACACTCCATTGTGTGTATGTATGTACGTGTGTGTGTGTGGCATATATATATATATCACATTTTCTTTACCTATTTATCTGTCGTTGTACTCTTAGGCTGTTTGAAGTCTTGGCTATTGTAAACAATGCTAAAGTGAACATGGGGGTGCAGATATCTCTTTGGGACAATAATTTCATTTTCTTCAAATATATATACAGAAGTGGAATTGATGGATCATATGATAGTTCTATTTTTAATTTTTTGAGAAACCTCTATATTGTTTTCCAGAGTGCCTCTACCAGTAGTACAGAAGAGTTCTCTTTTCTCCAAATTCTTGCCATTGAGTAGTTAACTTAATAAGTGTTATTTGGAAATATCTAAAATCATATAATTAGTCAGATGACTAAGCTATCTTTATTATACACACACACACATGTGCGCATGCACACACAACTTTCTCTCTCTATATATTTCCTTATGATGGTCCCTAGGAAATGGTGTACAGTAGGGGTCAGCAAACTTTTTCTTAAAGGGTCAGATAGTAAATATTTTTGGCTTTGCAAGCCATATGGCCTCTATCACAACCACTCAACTCTGTAATTGCAGTGTGAAAGTAGCCACAGACAGTCTGTAAACAAATGTGTGGCTATGTTCCAATAAAACTTTGTTTATGGACACTGATATTTGAATGTCATATAATTTTTACCTATTAAAATATTATTATTTTGATTTTTTCAGCCATTTAAAAATGTATAAACCATCTTAGCTCACAGGCCATATAAATACAGGTAGCCAGCTGGATTTGGCCTGTAGGCTGTTGTTTGACTATCCCTGGCATAGAGACTTCAGTGATTTAGAATGTTTATCAGAATGTTATTTGGCAATTAATGTGATGTTTTTTTAAAATTACAGTTGATATAAAATATTATATTAGTTTCAGGTGTACAGTATAGTGATTATACATTTATATAACTTACCAAGTGATCACCCTGATAAGTCTTGTAACTATCTGATACCATACATATTTATTATAATATTATTATTGACTATATTTTCTATGCTGTACTTTACATTCCCCTGGTTGTTTTTATAAATGGCAATTTGTACTTTTTAATTCCTTTGCCTTTTTAACTCATTGCCCCCCAGCTCCCCTCCCATCTGTTAACCATCAAAATGTTGTCTGTATCTATGTGTTTTTCTGTTACATTTAATGTGGTTTTAATTTGAAAGTTTTGGTTGAGTTCAGTAACCGTGGAATACTCACATGGCTGAATATGATTTCAAAAGATGTACTTTCAAAATTATTTCTAATATATATGAGGAATAGTGTGTCCTGGAGTCATATATATAGAATGTGGGCACTGCCCTTAGCTACTTTTTGCTTTTTTAGGGAGAGCAAGTCTTGGAGAAAGAAGTTGGGGGAAAAGTGGTGGGAAAATGTTGCAGATGTTTGAATAGGATGTTGGCTAAACATTGAAATCCTGTGTAAGGGAAATAAAGGGTCAGGCAAACCTGTGGAGAAAAATGATAAAGGGAACATTTAGTTAGATTAGAAGGAGAAGAGACAGCATCCTGAATTTGATAAAATTAATGCAGTGAGATGCTGTTGTAGAACAGTTTTGAAGTAGAGAGAGCAATAGTTTAGCTATAACTGTAAAAATGGTGAAAATATATTGAGTTATATAGAATGTCTAAATGGCTACCTTTGCCATTATATAATGTCCTTTGTATTTCAAGAAATAATTTTTTATTTTTGAGGACTTTAGAGTTTTTAGTTTTCAGTTTTAGAATCTATGCTACTCAAAATGTGGCCCCCACACTTGTTAGAAATGCTAATTCTTGTGCCATACCCCACATGGGGGTGGCTGGTATTGTGTTTAACCAGCCCTGCAGGGGTTCTAATGGGTACCAGGGCTTGAGAACCACTGATTTTGATCACATAAGAGGGGCACCAACTCATAATCCTTCCTTATAGATAGCAGTGTTTATAGTAAGGTTGCAGGGCAGGCTTTTTGATGGATACTTTTCACTAACTGCTGTTTTTAAGGACAGCCACCCGAAGGAGGAGGGCAGAAAGAATGCCCCTATTGTAAAAGGAGAAGGAATTTTTTTTGTAAGTAAACAAGATGAAACATGATTCAGGGTGTTTCTTCTGGAGCCCAGGGGAAAACAATTCCTAGTGGGTAGTTGCCTTAGTCTGTCTTTCTGTCTGTATCAGGTCAACTTGCCCACAGAGCACAGGCTATAGACAATATTCCATGTTCTTGTCCTGTTGTCATGGCTAGAGGATGGTGGTGCAAGTACAAATGTGTCTAGTTTTGTTTCTTTCTGTCCACTCTTCATTCTGTGCCAGGAATGCACTTCTCTCAAGCTCCTCCTACACGGTGACCTTGTTTCCATATTAATGGGTACATTTAGCTGGACACTAGTCATGTGTAAGCTGGAGACTTACACATGACTTTGAATAACTCAAGGTTTTATTTTTATTTTTTTGTTATTACAGTTGTCCCAATTTTTCCCCCTTTGCCCCCTACTCCCACAGTCAATCCCCTCATAGTTGTCCATGTCCATGGGTCATTCATTCATGTTCTTTGACCAGTCCCTTCCCCTTCTTTCCACTATTATCTCCCTCCCACCTCCCTTCTGGTTGCTGTCAGCCCGTTCCAGGCTTCCATGCCTCTGGATCTGTTTTGCTTGTTAGTTTATTTTGTTCATTAGATTCCTCTTATAGGTGAGATCACATGGTATTTGTCTTCACTGACCAGTTTATTTCACTTAGCATAATATTCTCCAATTCCATCTATGCTGTGTCAAAAGGTAGGAGTTCCTTCTTTCTTTCTCCTGCATAGTATTCCATTGTGTAAATGTACCAGTCTTTTTAATCCACTCATTTGCTGATGGGCACTTGGGCTCTTTCCAGAACTAAGCTATTATAAATAGTGCTATGAACATTGGGATGCATAGGTTCTTTTGAATTGGTATTTCATGATTCTTACAGTATATTCCAAGCAGTGGAATCACTGGATCAAAAGGCAGTTCCATTTAGAGTTTTTTTGAGGACATTCCATACTGTTTTCCATAGTGGCTGCACTGATCTGCATCCCCACCAACAGTGCACTAGAGTTCCCTTTTTTCTACATCCTAGCCAGTACTTGTTAGTTGATTTATTAATGATGATCATTTTGACAGGTGTGAGGTGATGTCTCATCATAGTTTTAATGTGCATCTGTCTGGTGACTAGTGATGTTGAGCATCTTTTCATATGTCTCTGGGTCCTTTGTATGTCCTCCTTGGAGAAGTGTCTATTCAGGTCCTTTGCCAATTTAAAAATTTTTTTTTTGTTGTTCAATTATAGTTGTCCCCTTCTCCCCATTACTTTCCTCTTGCCCTACCCACTCCAACCTTCCTCACCATTGTCTTTGTTCATGGGTCCTTTATACATGTTCCTTAATAATGCTTCCACTTCTTTTCTCTGTTGTCCTTCTCCCATCTGGTTACTGTAAGTTTGTTCTTTATTTCCATGTCTCTGGTTATTTTTTGCTTTCTTGTTCGTTTTGTTTGTTTAGGTTTCACTTATAGGTGAGATCATATGTTATTTATTTGCCTTTGCCCATTTTTATAATTGGATTGTTTGTCTTCCTGATGTTGAGTCATATGAGTTCTTTATATATTTTGGAGATTAAATTCTTGTCCAATGTATCATTGGCAGATATGTTTTCTTATACAGTTAGCTCCCTCTTCATTTTGATGATGATTTCTTTAGTGATGCTTTCTTCTTTTTAGATTGTTACAGTCCCATTTGTAGTGTCATATAGCATAAGAGAGGGTTACCATATCTGTTTGTTACTTATAAATTCAATTATGTACCAGAGAAAATGGTTGGCAAGCTATAACTGCCTGTCCTATCCCCTGTACAGTATGAGATCTGTCTGAAGTTTGGGAGACTAGGAACTAAGAAAACAGTTATGGAGATCTGGCTGTTTTGTCCAGACTGCCTTGGGGCTAGCCTTCCAAAATGCTACTCTCCATTTCACGTGAGGCCTCAAACTGGGAATCTTGGTGCCATGCTTTTGCAGTCCTGGTTCCTTGGACAGTCTGAGAAAAGGGCAGAGAAAAGCACTTTCTGCTTATGCAAATCAGAAACTTTTTTGTTTTTCTTTTTGTTTTTTTAATCACTGTGGCTACAAGGAAAGAATGAATTTCAGTTAGGAAAATTTAAAACCTCCCTGCTTAGAGTTGTGACAGGGAAGTGACAAAATACATGGTTTATTTTACTATATGCCTCCTTGAGGTAATGATTTTGATTATCAAAGACTTCCCCAAGGATTTAAGATTTGCTACTTATTCTACATTTCACTAGCTGATACATGTAGACATGCTTCTGCTGGCACACCATAAATTAATTTCTTCAATGATAAGACAGTTAGCTTTGGGAACATTGATTCTAGATTTTGATCCCATCTTCAGTTTACTAGATTATTCTCTTCATGAGTAGAGTTGTAAGTGCAAACTCCATTCTATAGGTATCTTATAGCAACTTTCTACAAACATTTATTGAGCACTTAGGTATAAATTGTTATATTTTTTTTAAAAATATTTATTTATTTATCTTTAGATGGGAAGGAGAGAGGGAGAGAAGTATCAATGTATGGTTGCCTTTCATGCATCCCCTGCTGGGAACTGGCCTGCAGGGAACTGGCTTGCAACCCAGGCATGTGCCCTGACTGGGAATTGAACTGTGATCCTCTGGTTCACAGACCTGCGCTCAATCCACTGAGCTATACCAGCCAGGGCTAAATTGTTATATTAAATAAAGTTAATAAGATGCAGTCCTAGTCCTCAGAAAACAGACTTGTAGTGGCTACTTATAGGATGGGTGATAAGTGAAATAATATAGTAGCATTTGAAAGGGAAAAGGTAATTTTTTCCTTAAAGGGACTTGGGGGATTCTGGGTACCTAGGAGAATGACTCAGGGAGGAGAGGATGTGGGGATAGAAGAAATAAAAGAAATAGGCATCAGAAAGTGGGAGGTGAAATGGGTAGGTGACTTCAGGTCCCTGAGGAGCACACCTGCTGGTGTGCTCATGCTCAGGCAATGAGGGCTAGATGTTGTTCTTGCTGACATGATTGTCGTGATTGTTAACTAGCCTCATAAGTAGGGAAAACTGTTTAATGCTGCTGGTTTGAGTAGTGTGTTTGTGGTATTTGTTTTGGGTACATTTTCCCAATGTGTTCTGGGTACATTTTCCCAATGTGTTACCCTGGACATCTAAAGAATAAGTGATATTTTAATAAATTGAGAAAATTCCTCTACATATAGATTTACAACCTTAGTAAGAAGGTGGTTGAACTTTTCAACTTCAGAGAGTTTATTCTACTTATCTTAAATCCACAGCACACTGCATGGTGGGGGTGGGTGCAAAGGTACAAACTCTGAGTTATAGAATAAATCATGGGGGTGTAATGTACATCAAGTGACTATAATTAATAATGCTGTATCATATAGTAGTAAGTTATTAAGTAGATCTTAGAAGTTCTCATCACAAGAGAAAGATTTGTAACTGCATGGTGACAGATGATAACTAGACTTATTGTGATTATTGCATATTATATACAAATATAAAATCATTAAGTTGTACCCCTGAAATGAATATAATGTTATATGTCTGTTATAATGCAGCTAAAAAATCCATAGCATGCCTTTTTCAGGTTTTATTTTACATATGTAATGTGTTGAAGATTACTCGTATAATGCTGTAACCCTCATTTCTCTTCCATTTAGCTATGGCTACATGAGCAATATACTCCGATTCTTTGCAAAACTGATTACAGACAAATGTGCCGATGAGGACAGGCTGTTTGTTATTTCATATGTTCTCAGCAATAACACAATTTCAGTGTTTGAACCCATAGAGAGGAATTCAGGTAAGAGATATGCCTCTGATAGCAATTTTCTCAGAGCAATTATCCGTCTCTTCACTTTGAAATTTAAGGAGTATGATCTGATTTTATATACTAGATGATCTAAGAGAGTAGCTTTTATTTTTTTACCCGCTAAAATTTTTTTTACAAAGATTTCCGAATGAGAACCCAAACATATAAAATGATAAAAGAGGAACAGATGTGGTTGGCTTGGGACTGGGGTACTGGGGATGCCTCCTTTTGAACACTATCCTCCCTTCCTCCATAGCCTCTAAGGCACCTCTGTGGAATCTAAGGGCTGGATACTACCAATTCCACTGACAGACCACAAGACAAGAGGAAATCTGTATTCTTGATAGTACTGTTTATGAATTTTTTTGAAAACTATATGACAAGAATCCCAGATTAACAAATACAATGTTTTTAAAGACTTTATTATTTATTTGTTTATTTATTTATTTCTAGATGGGGGAAGGGAGGGAGAAAGAGAGGGAGAGAAACATCGGTGTGTAGTTGCTTCTCATGTGCCCCCCACTGGGGACCTGGCTTGCAACCCAGGCATGTGACCCAACTGGGAATCAAACCGGTGACCCTCTGGCTGGCTCTCAATCCACTAGGTCACACCAGCCAGGGCAACAAGTACAATCTTCAGAGTCCATCTTCTTCTGGCTTTCCTCTCTGTTGAGGCTATTGTCAAGGTTCTGGCACCCAGGCCCATGGAATACCCTTCTGCTGTGTCCTGATACTGTGGCCATTGCTGAGGAGAGCCATTGATTTTGATTTACTAACAAGTGGAATTCATGGAGCTGCATGGCTGTGTTCTTTTTTTCCCAAAATGTTTTAAACTGTTATCTGTGCTGAAGACACTAATTTGGGAAGAATAATTAGTGGTGTGCTGGTTAACAGGCTCTCTGGAAAAATTTTAAAAGGATCTAGTTTGTACCATCTGCTAATTCTATGGTGTAAATACCCCAGCCATGGCCAATTTCAATTTCAAGCAATCAGTAGTTTAACAGCTGGCTTGCAAAATCCCTGAAATTGAACAAGCAGCTTTATGAGCTGATATGAGCCAGTCAGCACACCAATGAATGATGAATAATTTGTTTAATTAAGTCAGGCTCCACAGTGATTTGAATAATGAATCAAATCTCAAAATATGAAATCAAATAGGGATGAATATAAATTATGCTCTTAAAGGTCAAAAAACAAACTCTATACATCTAGAATGGGGAAGATATGGCCAAGCCAATTGCAGCATACATAAAACAGAAAGGGTGCTGGTAGTCCACTGTAAGCTGACTAGTAATAATAGTAGCCATGATTGAATACCCACTATTATCCTTACAAGAGCTTTATGAGGTTAAGTTTTATGTTAGTTTAGGTCTTCTAAGAGGCAAACCCCAAGATGGTATTAAATGTGCAAGAGATTTATTATGGGAAATGCTGGTGAAGGAAAATGTGAAAGGAGCCAGAAGAGGCTTGGGTGAGCCATCAGACTGCAGTGTATGTCTGACTCTTGCAAAGGACATAGGGGAGGAAGAAAGGAAGTGGTGTTAGACCACAGTGGAATTCTAAGAAAGTTCCATTCAGTAAAGTTGACTGGGAGTTCTAGAGCCAAAGTCAGTACTTGGAGGCACCCCTGTCTTACAGGTGCCTTGTATCTCTGCCTTATTTAGGCATTTGTTGACAGCAGCCAGTTGGAAGCAAGAACTCGGCACCAACCTAGGGATATAGTTCAGAACAAAGTGGCTGGGGTCTTCCATCAACTATGTTCCCCACAGTAGGCAGTCTGAGTGGTACATTTTCATGTCCCCAGAAATTTTATTCCCTTTGTATTAATGAGAATTCAGAGGGGTTCAGAGAGGTTAAATGACTCCTAAAGATCATAAAGCAAGTGACAAAGCTGGCATAGACTCCAGCTCTATTTGCTTCCAAAGCCTAGTCTTCTACCACCTATAGTTTCTGAATATGGTAGGAGGAATGTGATGAGGCTTATTCCAAAAGTTCATCTGGTCTCAGGTTTTATACATAGATTTAAAGATTTCACTTAATCCGGCCAAGATGGAGGTATAGGTGGAAACACTATGCCTCCTCACACAACCAAAATTAAGGACAACAAAGATTTAGAAACAAAAATACAATCCCAACAGACAGAAAATTGAACTGTACAGAAGTCCAATAAGCATTCAACCAGACTGGTAAGAGGGGCAGAGTCGGTAGCCAGCAGAGAGGGATTGTGGCAAGAAAAGGCAGTGGCTGCCAGACCCGAGAGCACAGGTGGTGCAGGGCTCACCAACATCACACATTCATACGCAGACAAACTAGGCAAAAATGGGCAGCAAGACAGACCACACAACCCAGGGCCTCAGTGACAGGAAATAAAGCCTAAAAGCACCAATTGAAAAGGTGCTGGTTTATGGGAAGTGGCAGAAGGGACTGAAATTCGAGAGAGAGAGCAGAAGAAATGCCATTTCTCCCTGTCTGACCAATGCCCCCACATACATACAGCCTTACAACCCAGGGAGTTGGGTTGCCCCATCCTGTTGAACATCTAAGGCTCCTCCACTCACTACATAACAGGCGCGACCAGACCAAAAAAATATGACCCAAATGGAAGAACAGATCAAAGCCTCAGAACCACTCCATCTAAGTGACCAAGAGATAGCCAACCTATCATATGCATGGTTCAAAACACTGGTGATCAGGATGCCCACAGAACTGGTTGATTTTAGTTGCAAATTAGGTGAAAAAATGAAGGCTACACTAAGTGAAATGAAGGAAAATGCACAGGGAACCAATAGTGATGGAAAGAAAACTGGGACTCAAATCAATGGAGTGGACCAGAAGGAAGAAAGAAACAACCAAACAGAAAAGAATGAAGAAACAAGAATTCAAAAAAATGAGGAGAGGCTTAGGAACCTCCAGGACATCTTTAAACGCTCCAACATCCGAATTATAGGGGTACTAGAAGGGGAAGAGGAAGAGCAACAAGTGGAACACTTATTTGAACAAATAATAAAGGAGAACTTCCCCAATCTGGCAAAGGAAATAGACTTCCAGGAAATCCAGGAAGCTCAGAGAGTCCCAAAGAAGGTGGACCCAAGGAGGAACACACCAAGGCACATCATAATTACATTAGCCAAGATTAAAATGAAGGAGAGAATTCTAGAAGCAGCAAGAGAGAAGGGGACAGTCACCTACAAAGGAGTTCCCATCAGACTGTCAGCTGATTTCTCAGAAGAGACCTTCCAGGCAAAAGGGGCTGGAAAGAAGTATTCCAGGTCATAAAATGCAAGGACCTACATCCAAGATTGCTCTATCCAGCAAAGCTTTCATTTAGAATGGAAGGACAGATAAAGTGCTTCTCAGATAAGATCAAATTCAAGGAGTTCATCATCACCAAGCCCTTATTATATGAAATGTTAAAGGGACTTATCTAAGAAAAAGAAGATAAAAAAGATGAACAGTGAAAGGACAGCAAACTCACAGTTATCAACAACCACACCTAAAACAGAAACAAACTAAGCAGACAGCTAGATCAGGAGGAGAACCATAGAAATGGAGATCACATGAAGGGTTAGCAACAGGGGAGTGGGAGGAGGAGAAGGGGGAGAAGGTACAGAGAATAAGTAGCATAGATGGTGGGGAGAAAATAGGGGGAGGGCAAGAGTAGTGTGGGAAATGTAGAAGCTAAAGAACTTATGACAGATGAACATGAACTAAGGGGGGAATGTAGGTAAGAAGGGGTGTGCAGGGTGGAGGGGAATGAGTGGGTGGAATGAGACAACTGTACTGGCATAATCAATAAAATTTATTTAAAAATAAATAAAAATAAATTATTTTTAAAAAATGATTTCAGTTAAGAAGATACTGGAGTTCCATGTTTAACTCTGATTACTGCTTTTCAAGAGGTAAAAAAGTCAAATAATGCCCAGAAGAGAGAAGATCAAATAGTGAGAATTCTTGAAAACAAGAAACATGAGACATTACTAAAAGAAGCAAAGCTATTTTGTCTGCAGAAAAAAAAGTTAATCTGTATGTCAGAATAGATGTAAGACATCATCTAGGGAAAATGGATGGAAATAAGCTCAAGTGACAAATTTTCTACATGGTATTGGGGAACTGGGTAGCAGGATGCATGAATTAATCCCCATGATTTATTCTAGTTGATTTATTCTAGTGCACTAAACATTCACTAAAGATGAGTATCTCTCTGATGTCCCAATTAAGTTGCTGGGCACAGAGCAGGAACTTATTAAATGTTTTTTTTAAGTGTTTAGATTGGGAAGGGTGTAGAAAGAGGAAAGAAAGGGGTGGAATACCATACCACATTTTTCTTTATACTCTAACCTAGGGAACTTCATTTCTTCACCCACTGTTTAATTTTTCCCTTCAGTCTGAGAATAATAGGCACTGTGGGCTCACAGCTAAGTTGTATGGTCTGTGTTTGAGGAAGAAGTAACTCTAATGGCAACTTGTATGGTTCTTTTAAGAATAAAGCCTACTTATTAACTTTTCTCTTTTTTTTGTAGGATATACTGGTGGATTGTTCTTGAAAAAAATGCGTATTAAGAGGCCTAGACAAGAAGTCATTAAAAGTGGACTCTCAGAATATATCCAGCCTGAGGAGCTGTATATTGGAGCCAAAGTGAATTTGAATGGCTACATATTTATTTTGCTCAATGCTGATGAATATACCTTAAAATTCATGGAGGAGAATTCCGATAGGGTGAATTTACTTTGTATAATTCTTGACTTGTCTGTCAGCACTGTGCAATATGTGTTTTTCTTTTCCCAGGCTTTTTCTTCTTCATCTTGCCACCAGTTTTACATTGTGCATTCACACATGTGGGCATGAATAATGGATCAGTGTGACTTGGCCACAGGTCCTGTCATAGAGGCCAGGTCCCAGTCTACTCTGTTTACATGCTGGGTCCTTTGCTGCCCAGCAGCACAGATGCCAGGCACAGGCAGGAGGCAGGCCCAGGGTTGAATCAAGTTTCCTGGGTTTTCTGCTGACGCCAACAATGTTTTCAGAAAGAAATCCAGCAACTATAGGAAAGGAAGAAAATCTGGTGCCACACACTGTGCTGTCCCAGTTAATTGGCAAAAGCCTACAGGGAAGGCCAAGACCTGAACAAACAGAATCCCCTAGGGAACCCAGTAGTTGCTAGGGTTGCAACTTCCCATAATAGGAGCCACCTGAGGCCTAAATAAGAATTCAAGGACAAATTGCCTAAAGTAAGCTCAGAGAGTTTTTCATTTGATGGCAGATGGATAAGGTTACAAAAGTATTAGTAGGCAGTGTTCTTTAGTAAAAATAACATGCTGATAAAACCTTGATTTTTAAGTGTGGACTAGTTTGATATGCAAAACCAACATATATATTTAAGAATCATTGCCTACTATTGAAAATTCTATCCAGAAACAATTTAATTGAAAAGTCTGCCTTAAGAAATAATACTTATATGCCAATTATATATATATATATATATATATATATATATATATATATATATATATATATATATACACACACACACACACACACACACACAGTACCAATTTTGTTTCATTTTTATATAAAATGCCTAGGGACAAGTTAATGAGATCAGTTTCTCTGTGTATATCACATCATCCATGTTAGTTTGGATCCTCTGAGAAGCAGAGGCCAAGATGGAATTAGACATGTAAGGGATGTATTGGAAGAAATATGTATGAAGGATAAAGGGAGAGGAAATGAGTAGGTGGGAAGAGCCTTCAGATATTTGACCTCTGAGAAAGGAGAAGGAAGGAAGGAGGATGGGTTAGTTAGAAAGATCCTCAAATGCAGCAGAGCTCTGAGAAAGTCTCAGCCAAGCCAATAGGTAGCCCAGAGCAAATATTGTCCATCACAGAAGTCCCACATAAGACAGGATGGCCCAGCTCTGGTGCCCCCATCCTGCTCTGTCATCAGTGGGAACAGCCTGGGGAGAGTGTGGCCTTGGTAAGAACACTGTAACAATGTTGAAGATACATCATCTAAAGGCTATGACCTGAAAATGCTCTTCTCTGCACAGTGTTTCTTATAGTAGGCCTAGGCAGCACACTCCAGGGCTACCACACCATGCTATACCCTTTCTCCATTTGTAGTGTTATGAATTCGGGTTACTGTTAAACTGTAAACCACTGTCTCTTCAAAAGCATTAAAATCAGATGAGAGGCTCAATAATAAGGCAGTTAGATTTTTGAAGACCAGCAGGTTTGTCTGGAAAATCTGACTCCACACTTAATGGTTGAAGAGCTTTAGACATGTAACTTCCCTGAGCTTCACCATCCTCATCTTTGAAATGGGAATAGCAAGAACAGTATCTCTTTCATAGACTTCCTGTGAAGATTAGATGTGATAATGTGTGTAAAGTGCTTAATTCTATGTGGCACATATCAAGCTCAGTCGATGTACAATTTACAATAGCTATTATAAATTAGGGCTCAATATTCAGACATATGGTAAGTCTATACCCTTATATAAAATACAGTTGACTCTTGAATAACATGAGAGTTAGGGGTGCTGATCTCTCCACACAGTCAAAAATCTACATATAATTTTTGACTCCCAAAAACTTAACAGCTAATAGTCTAATATTGACTAGAAACCTTACAAATCAGTAATATAAAGTCAATAAATGTATTTTGTATATGAATTATATACTATGTTCTTAAAATAAAGGAAGCTAAAGAAAAGGAAATGGTATTAAAACCATACAGAAGAGAAAATATATTTACTGTATTTAATGAAAAAAATCCATGTAGAAGTGGACCCCTGCACTTCAAACCCATGTTTTTCAAGGGTCAGATGTACAAGGGGGGGGACCAAAAAACCCCCAGAATTTATTTGTAAAAAATTGTGAATTTATTCTTACATGTTTAAACTTCAGTCACCTTCAAAGTACTCTCCCTTTGATGCAATACACCTATCGAGAATTTTTTCCAGTGCTCAAGATAGTTTTTGAACCAATTGTTTTTAATGCCTTTTAGTGCATTTGCTTTTTTTTTGTTTCATCTCTTCTGCATTGGTGAAAACATTTCCCTTTGAGGACTTTTTTCATCAGGGAAAACAAAAATAAAGTCACTGAGGGCAAAATTGGGTACATACGGAGGATAGGGCACAAGGGTCATGCTGGTTTTTGGTCAAAAACTGCTGAACACTCAGTGCACTGTGGGAAGGTGTGCTCCTCAATCACCCATCATGAAATGGGCAAACATGTTTAAAGTCTTAAAAAATATTCACTGAAGCCAAATGCAGCCTATCACAACACCACCAGCTGATACACTAACACAGATGGGTTCCTAGAACACACCAAGCAGGGGAAGCCTGAACTACAAGGGGCCTACCCTCAGAAGGTAATTCCAGGTTATTTGGGTCCCCCCTCACATAGCGTGAACATATATGTTTTAATATTTATTTTTCAATTACAGTTAATATACAATAATGAATATATATCAATAATAAATATATTTTAAGTTGTAAAGGGCTTTTGTCCTTTCAGAAAGCTAAAAGCAGGGTAAGACATTACCTAGTATCAGCATCCCAAGTAAAAATTTCATATTTTAAAAACTGCCCTTAACAGGGACCTTCTAAGCAGAGAAAGATTAATACACTTTTAATATTATCTGAGGAATCTTTTCAAAAAAACTAATAGATACTATCATGGAAATAGATGAAAGGAAATGTAAAAGGAGGAGGGAATAGGGTCTACAATAGGTGCCAAACTCCCTGGTGGAAGAAGGGGGGCTTTATATTAAATCACCATCCATGTTATTTTCATATTTAGCCTTCTAATTTTTAGCTCTTATATGTAATTGTTTACAATCTTATGTTTTACTAGATTAAATAAGGAGTATTTTTAGAGTCAAAAACCAAACACAGAGTAGGAGACAGAAATTGGGGGCTGCCTGGAGAAGGAATGTACGGGGATTTCAGTGTGTGTGGACCTTTAACACTTGGCCTTGTTGTGCTCATTGCATAGCATGGTGACTAACAGTTCTGGGGGCCCACTTCAAAGAGCTATAGAAAATGGGAGTTCACTTACCCAATTTTGAATCTCCTTCGTCTCCATTAGGGTCTCTAACATAGTAAACCAATGTTTAAGTGTTAAAGGGAGGAGGCAGAGTCAGAAGTAAATGTTTTCTGATTCCTGTGGCCTGCCATACCTTTAGCTCATTTCTCTCAGATCTGGGTTTATACTAATGTCATTCCTAGTTCTACAGCCCTAACTGAAGAGATAAAAAGTCTAATCATGTCTTCTTTGTGTTGATCTCTATGGAAAGACATGCCCAGCTAATTTTAGGTTCCCAGTGTGAAGTCTCTTTTCTGGCTATCAGAAAGATGGCCTCCCTATGTGTCAGGCATGTTTAAGTAATCTTTTCTTTCTTCCCCCTCTACCTCCAGTATCCTTTTAGCAACCTTGAACTTGCCCTACAAAAGTTGAAAGATGAAAAATCAAAATCCACAGAGATCAAGCAGATATTTAGGGCTGCTGACTATAACTTGACAAAGACAGTGGATTATAATACATTCAGGTAAGCCATATTTTGCTAACAATAACCTATTTTCCTCTAAAGATTATTCTTAATGTTTCTTAATACTACATACTTTTTTTCTTAGAAGTTGAAGATTCTTTGCACTTATATTACTTTATAGTCAAGTTTGGCCCACTTCTAGCAAGTTCTCATGCATTTGCATATTGAAGAAGTTTGTAGGTGAGAACAGAGAGACAAAAATGTAGAAAGTCAGTTGGTCACATTGTCTTGTGAATCATGGTATTGAAGAATCAGGGGAATGCCAGGGAGGGTGCATCTGAGTGTGAAAGGCAGAAAAAAATGGAGCTAACCACACCCCTTCAAAATCTGGGCAACAAAGGAGAGTCATGTCTCTGGGAATGAGATCCAGTTGGAAAAGATAGTAGAAATAGAAACTTTACTGATTATCAGAGAAAAAGTGATTTATATGTATATCACTGTGTGTATATATGCCCACACACATCTGTGTATTTTGAAAAACATAAGAATATAGATACCAAGGGAAAAACACATGACAGTAGTTATAGAAATATTATAAGAAATCATGAACAATAAGGATTTCTCTAGGGCAAAGCTGAATTCTGAGGGGATTGTCCAGTGAGGGGATTTGACCTAGGCAAATTTCCAAAGAGAGGAAACAGGGAAATTAAAAATCAGGGTTTAGTACAATTGTGAGACTTCTCTTTGCCTGAAAACAAAGTGAATGGAGCATAGAGAAGAATGTAAATTAAATCATGGATGGAGGACAAAGGGGACTTTCTCTTTAGGCTGAGAATTCTGGCTCCTGAAAACAGTTGTGGCTGAAAGCTGTATAGGAAATAGCTCCATGCAGTCAAGATGTGGGCTGAGAGATGAGGAAATGAGCCCACAGGAAGGTGGCAGGGAGGTCTTTCCAACTTTGTGCCCAAAGTCACCTCTTTCATCAGTACCTGGTGACCTGAGCCCTCCATGAGGCCCCAACTATCCCAAAAGCTCATTTGTTGTTTTGACAAAGCTCTTTTGTTTTTCTAAAATTTTCTTTAGAGAAAAGCATTCAAAGGACATATTTTTGTTTTTTATAATTTCCAGCTTTCTGGGATCAATAAGAATTTACAGTTCTTTGTTATTGTTCACAGTAGTACACATGTTCAAGGCCTTTTGCAAAATAAAGGAGACAAGTAAAGAACAAAGACAGTTGCTCAGGCCATGGACTAATGGCAAGCAGTGCAGGAGAAAAATTTCCATCAGAAATGAGGGAGTGGTTTTGTTTTATTATTTTGTGTCCTTTTACCAAAGCGTCCATTCTCCCAACACCAGCAAAATCTATTGGAAACACTTTAGTTAGTTTATGGGGCTTTTGGGGAAGCACTTAGGCCAGGCAGGAGATCCAAGGAGGAAAAGTTGCTCCACAGATGGAGGCCTGACCCTAAGTACTTGTGGAATAAAGGACCACCAAACTGATTGGAGCGTGGCTTCAAGGCATGCATGCTCAGAAGTAACCAGCTCATGATCTTTAGGCCCTGTCCTGGCCAGAGGTTTCTTAAGATGAAAATGAGATCAGGTAATGCCTGACTTGAAAATCCCTTCAGTGGCTTGCCATCATTCTTACAATAAGATCCAAACATTTTACTGTAGCTGGCAGAGAGGGTCTTGAGTGATGTGACTCTTTATATTTCTAATGTCACCCTTTTTTACCCAGCCCTGTCCTCTGGCCTTGCCAGCTGTCACTCAATTTCTCAAACACTTTCCTGCTTCTGAGCCTCTGCACATGCAGTCCCCTCTGCTTGGAATGTCCACACCACCATTTCTTTTATGACAAACTGTAGGACTCAGCTTAAATATCACTTCCTTACATGGACTTACTTTTTGACTATTTTACATAAAGTGGATCACTCACTCATTCTTAGTCCCTTGTTTATATTTATCTTTATTTCCTTTTTAAGTTTTTTAAAACTTTTTACTGTTCAAATACCGTTGTCCCCATTTCCCCCCATTACTCTCTCCTGCCTGACCCACCCCCCAACTTCCACATTCAATCCTCCTCCCCCATTGTCCTTATCCATGGGTCATTTATAATATGTTCCTTGACTTGACCCTTCCCCTTCTTTCCCCTGTTATTCCCTTTCCTGCTCCCCTCCGATCACTGTCAGTTTGTTGTTTATGTCCCTGTCTCTGGTTCTATTTTGCTCGCTTGTTTGTTGTGTTGATTAGATTGCACTTAAAGGTGAGATCATATGGTATTTGTCTTTTGCTGCCTGGTTTATTTCACTTAGCTTCATATTCTCCAGTTCCATCCATGTTGTCACAAAGGGTAGGTATTCTTTCTTTCTGCTGCATAGTATTCCATTGTGTAAATATACCACAGTTTTATGACCCCCTAATTTACTGGTGGGCACTTAGTTTTTTATAAAATTATATTTTATTGATTATGCTATTACAGTTGTCCCAGTTTTCCTCCTTTGCCCCACTCCACACAACATCCCCACTCCCTCAGGCCATTCCCCCCACCCTTGTTCATGTCCATGGGTCATTTTTGTAAGTTCTTTGGCTACTCCCTTTCCCATACTGTAACTATCTATTCGTACTTCTTAATCCCCTCACCTCTCATCCATTCTCCCACACCCTACTCCCATCTCTTTATCTTTAACCTTTGGCATCTTAATTATGATGTGTCTTGGGTTGGGCCTCTTTGTGTCCATCTTGTTTGGGACTCTATGCTTCCTGGACTTGCAAGTCTATTTCCTTCATCAATTAGGGAACTGTTCTTTTATTTTCAAAAAAAATATACTACCAATTTCTTGCTCTTTCTCTTCTTCTGGCACCCCTATAGAGCGAACACTGGATTGCATAAAGTTGTCCCACAGGCTGCTTACACTATCCTCATTTTTTTGGATTCTCTTTCCTTCTTGTTTTTTTGGTTGTTTTTTGCTTCCCTATGTTCCAAATCATTGATTTGATTCTCAGCTTCATCCAGTCTACTGTTTTTTTTCCCTGTAATTGTTCTTTATTTCAATTAGTGTATCCTTCATTTTTGACTGGATCTGTTTTATGCTGTTAAAGTCTTCACTGAGTTCCTTGAGCATCCTTATAACCAGTGTTTTGAACTCTGCATCTGATAGATTGCTTATGTCCATTTTGTTTAGTTCTTTTTCTGGAGTTTTATTCTGTTTCATTTGGGCCATGTTTCTTTGTCTTCTCATTTTGGCAGCCTCCCTGTGTTTGTTTCTATGTATTAGGTTGAGCTGCTATAACTTCCTGTCTTGGTAGCATGACCTAATGTAGTAGGTGTCCTGTAGGGTCCAGTGACACAGCCTCCACTATCACCCAAGCTGGGTACTCAAGGTGTGCCCTTCATGTGGGCTGAGTACACACCCTTCTCTTGTAGTTGAGACTTGGTTGCTGTTGGCAAATCAATGGGAGGACTTACCCAGGCCAGGCAGCTACAAGGATTGTCTGTGATCACTAACCACCAACCTCCACCCTCTGTGGGGGATCAGCTGTGCAGAGGCAGGGTGGTGGTGCTCTGATGTGGGCAGTGGCCCCTGGCTTTTCTCAGGGGGTGCAGGTCAAGGTCAGCCCCCACCTGTGTTTTGCCTGGGGCCACCCTTCCTGAGGTATAAAGCAATTTGAGATGGCTGGTACTTGTGCTGGGCTTGGAGATTTCCAGGCAATGCCAAGCTGTGAATCTAATTGCTAGTTCTGGGCTTGGGGCTCATTGAGGCCAGCTGTTGCTTATGTGAGAGGATTTAGAACGTTGTAAAGCATGAGCTAAGTCCAGCCATTCCTATGGAAAAGCAGCCTGGGTGAGCTCGTAAGGTGGGTGGGGCAGAGTCTCTGGGGATCTCCAAGGCAGGTCAACCAGTGTAAGGTTGCTGGAATCTTAGATATAGAACCAGTCTGCCAGCTCTGTGGGTGCATGGCCCAGAAAAGGGACAATGGCCTTTGCTTGTCTTGATACCAGACACCTCTGCCTCCCCCTGCCAGCAGTGGTGCCCCTTCATGTGTTGGAGCTCAGGGAAAGTGAGTCGGAGTAGGTAAGTCTATGTGTGGGTTCTTTAAGAGGAATTGCTTGGGGCTCCAGAAGTTTTTTCCATTGACTCAATCCTCACTGGTTTTTGAAGCCAGAAATTATGGAAACTTATCTCCCTGACACTAGAACCCTGGGCTAGGGGACCTGGTGTGGGCCTGGGACTCCTCACTCCCAAGATATCCCACCTGAATTTTTATCCACCACACATGGATGTGGGACCAGCCCATTCCATGTCTGTGCTCTTCTTTACAGTCTGAATGGATGTGGTTTCTTTAATTCCATAGTTGTCAGACTTCCATTCAACTCAATTTGTCGATTCTGAGTGATGGTTGTTACTACATTTTAATTGTAATTTTGATGTGGTTGTGTGAAGAAGAGAGCCATGCCTGCCTACATTGCCATCTTGACCAGAAGTCATCTATATTTTTCTTATGACAACTTGTAGTTACTTTACTTAGATATCTGTACTTGGTGTGTGTGTACTCATGTGCAGCTTATCATACTAGAATATGAACTTTCTGAGGGGCAGGGACTTTGACCCACATAGCACTGGGCTCAGTACATATCATAGTTCCTGAATGTAATAACGAACTGCTAGAATTATTCTTAGGGATTTTAGTTTGGAGGTGATGGAATTATTTTCAGATGAGGTGTAAACCAGGTATCTTCATATAACTTGCTCAGTATTGAGTACTGTGCCTTATTGGTTGGCCCACAACTACAGGTTCTTAGTTCATGGTCTTCAGTCTTCTTTTTTGCTCCTCATGTTCTTCCCTGGGCAAAGGCAAAGGAACAACATAGCCAGTCTGTGTCATACCACATCCTGTAATTCTGTGCTTGCCACTTTTACTAGATAATATTTTCTTTTATTTATTTTTATATGTATGTATGAATACTCTGGCTGTTCTCACCAGAATGTGATATTTTCGAGGTCAGGGACCTTCTCTTTCTTATTTTTTGCTTTTGCATTATCACTTTTCATAGTGACTGG